GTCTGACATTGAACAAATAACGCAAACAGTTCCAGAAGAAGCTCCGTGTTTCTGTATCAGAGAATTCTGATTCTTGAGGATTGTTTCATAACAAAGAGCCGGATGTTTCCGACGCTCGTTCTTTCATTTTTTAATCTCGCTCCGAAAAAGGCCAGGGCGGAATAATCTCTGGATTTTTGGTTAATCCTGAAATAATTACTCCATCGATCTGTGAGCTGGCTTAGATTCATCGTCAGGGATGTTTGCATCCTTAAAAAAATCTGTGTGAAAGTGGTTCATACGCAGAAACGCTCGCTTTAAGTCAGAGCATAAACAAAGAGCAGATAAATCATCTTCCTTGATAATCAGGAAATCAATGCTTCTCTTCATCATATCAGCACATCAGCAGGTAGACCGGAGGCGGAGCCTGTGGTCAGTGTGCTGGCAGGACCTCCTGAGCGGGTTGAAAAGAGAAATAAACTTCACTGACTGATTTGAAATCTTAGCGTTTCTCTCTTTCTGCAGGTTGTGAACGAGATCTTTCCATCTGGACGTACTCGTACCTGGCGTTGCTGTTTCCCATCTTCCTGGCCAGGACTACTCTGTTATAAACCTATCCTGGTGCTGCAGGCCTCCAGTTTAGTCGTCACTATGTGATGCTGCTGAAGGCGCAGGGCATGCTCGCATGCAGCTGATGGAGTTCTTCTACGGCTGGCCACGGCGTCGAGGTGGCTACTACTCGTACATTACAGCGTGGTGGAGCGGCTCACTACCAGAGAGTGACCGGCTCTGCCGCTCCATCATCTGTTCGGATCGGCGGCGGGATCTCTGACGGTCAGCTGCTGCTCTCCGTGGCAAAGTTGAGCTGCTGCACTCGTCATCATCAGCTGACGGCGGCCGCTTGGCCTTCGTCGTCGCTCCTGGTTTCTGCCATGCCCAAGAGGAGTCTGTTCTTCCACAAGAGTCCAGGATCAGCGGAGGAGGGACAGAAGGGGGGCAGCGCGCCCTGCTGGAGAAGGCTGACGATGCAGAGAGTAAAGTGCCTCTAAACATCCAGTAGCCCGGTGAGAGACGTTCAGATTCAAGTTTTCAAAATGATCTTCTTGATTCTGTCTCTGCAGGAGTTTGTCTGCAGATTTAAAATGCAAACATCCGCTCTCTGTCTCCAGATATCCAGCTCCTCTGAGACCGAGCGTCCTCGGAGGGGTCTCCTGGACGTGCTGCGGATGCTGTTTGACGACTTCCTGCAGTGCTACAGGTGTCGCCCCTGCTGGCCTGGTCGCTGTGGTGGGCTCTGTCCACCTGCGGATACTTCCAGATCCTCAACTACGCTCAGCGCTGTGGAGAAAGTTCGTCCATCGCACGATTACGAGATCTACAACGGATACGTGGAGACCGCGTCCACGCTGCTGGGTGCGTTTTGTCAATTGAAGAATTATCCGGAGCGTGTTAGGTTGAAATTTTTTTTTAACTGTCGATTTTGATGGATTGAGATAAATGTCTGTGCACGTCCTCAGGTGCTCTGGCGGCTCTCCTGGTGGGCTACCTGCCCGTGAGCTGGTCTCTGTGGGGAGCTGGCTCTGTGTGTCATGTCCTGCTCATGGCCGTGTGCGTCTTCGTCATGGACATGCTGAAGAACATCTGGCTGTGTTACGCGCCTACATCGTCTTCAGAGCCGCGTACATGCTGCTCATCACCGTGGCAACGTGAGTACATAAGTCAGGGATCTGAGCGCGGGCAGGTCTGCATGTTCCCCCCAAATGAGCTCAGGCGTTTTTGGAGTTATTACTGCGCTACAGATCTAAACCTTCCCGACATGTCTGACTGATTCTCTGCCTCTGATTGGTCAGGTTTCAGATCGCAGCAATTCAACATGCAGCGTTACGCCTTAGTGTTCGGGGTGAACACCTTCATGGCCCTGCTGCTGCAGACTCTGCTCACGCTGGTCGTCGTGGACTCCGTCGGCTTCGGCCTCGACGTCTTCACTCAGGTGAGGAGGGGCGACGTCTTCTCGTCTCCTATCTGCGCCTCCTTCACTTAAAGTCTGATTGACGGCTGACCCTTTCCTTCTTCTCGCAGTTTCTTCTCTACGGCGGATACTTCACTCTCATCGCGGTGGTGTTCCTCCTCGCCGGGTTGTGCAAACTGGTCTCCAGGAGGCGCTCTGAGGAGGAGGTCTTAGGCAACGGCTCGGCAGAAACCGGATCAGACTCTCCTCCAATCAGTGACACCTGATGGCAATCACGATATGTCTTAAAGTTTGAACCTTTCAGTTTAGAGAGCAGCAGAGTAGAAAATAACACTTTACTTAGTGAAACCTAAAACTTTAAAGGAGCTTTTAGACCGTCGTTTTAGACTTCAAATGTCCGCTATATTCCGTTATGTTCATGAACATGAAAGAAATGAGCAGAATGAAATTTGCCCTTTTTGCCTTCAGATCGATGAGCAGCACTTTATATCAGCGAGCACTTCTCCACGTTTACTTTGACACCAGCCAAAAAAGAAAAGAGTTTATTTGAATATTTATTGTTTCCTCCTGTCGTCGTGTGTGAGACGTTTGGGTACTCGTGAGGAGAATCAGTGTTGGGATGTTAAGTCTCTGTTTTTATGAAATGTCACCTGTAGCTCTTGTGAGACTTCAGGATATCGCTCTGAGATAATCTGTTGATACTTGATGTTTTTAAAAAGTGCCTCGAACGTTCAAAAACGCTGCTTCTGCAGTGAGACATTCCTGAATTCTTCCAGGGATTTAAAGAGTTTTTCATTGTCAACAGATCTGATGAACGGACAAAAACCAGCAATGATTGAGTCCACTTTGTTCGGACTTCCTGTCTTTAGCTCTCAGCCCCGAGCTCATTGGTTCCTCTGACGGTGACGTGTACGTCAGCTGTTCTCTGCAGACGAAGAAAACCTCACGAGAGCAGTCCACAGTCCAGCAGAATGCAGACAGAGTTTATCAGTCTACAAACCAAATCAGTACTGCAGAGATGAGCGCGGCGCCCTCTTGTGGTCCTTTGTGTAATGACACACAAGTAGGCCAGGCAAGGTGCCGTAAATCACAGGTTAAGGATAGATACTTATTGATCCTGAGGGAGATTCAACAAATAATAAATAAATAAGTCAATAAACATCTAACAAGACATTATGGGATGCATGGAATTGTAAGACTACATTCAAGGAGTGTAAGCACAAGCCACTGACGCAGGAACGCATGTGGTCAATCATCACACTACCCCCTTTTATTTATATATCTTTAAATATTTATTTGGAGAGTAACGTCTCAGAAAAATAACACTAAGGATAAATGTATTGTTGGTTTCTCTCCGTTTATGGGATGTGTTGACATCTGCACGTGTTGACGAGGTTTGAACAAATGATTGTGGACGTCATCAAACTTTTGGAAGAGCCAAACAGAAAGTAGAAATGCTGCAGAGGATACGGCTCGTCGTGTGGATGTGTGTGTGTCCAAGTGTTGAGCACTTAAAGTGATGTGTGTTTATTTTCATACTGGTTGACTGTTACTGGAAACACAAACATGGTGGAGGACGGAGCGTCCAAAACTGACTGGTTTGTGTTTTCACTTTTTAACATCCTTTTTTTTGTTCATAAAGTTCAGATCATGTGTCTAAAAACGCTGCAACTTCAGCTCTCATTAACTTTATTCACTGTAATAAAAACTTTATTAGTCGAGCTGCACAATCACAGACACCAGTGCTAACACTGGGCGTACAGACGGCTTAAAGGGAGGGTTGGTCATTCTCCAAAACAAGCATGATCGTGAAAGTAGCATTCCCTCAGTGATCTGTCTTAAGAAGTGGATCTGGAGGAAATCACCCACCCTGCCTTTAAGTCTTTTGAGGATGTTTTAATGACTGATTTATAGTGTTTTTATTTTTTGTTGCCTTTTTTGTTTTAGACTGTACTGTAAAAGAACTCCACCATGTGTGTTTATTTTTGTTAACTGTCAGAACTGTGGTGTGTTGGGATGTTTCTATAAAGACGTGGACTCAGTACTTTTGCATTGTTTGATTTCTTGCCGTGTGACTCGTTATCGTACACAAAGCGATGCTGCAGAGGATTATGGGTCGGACATTTTGCACAAACTGGTCCGGGGGTGTTTACATCGCAGACTTTTTGGGAAACAGAAACCTCACATTAGTCATGATTAAATTGCTTTAAGCAGTTTGTGGGATTTTGTGCCATCTAGTGGTGAGGCTGCACATTTCTACCAAATAATAACGCATCATATTTCCTTAACAAGCAGCAACCTCTGGTGTTTAAAAATGAAGCTGAAGTGTAAAATCCTGCAGTTCCTGGAGTGTCCACTAGAGGCTGGCTGCAGAAGCACAGGAAGTCACATACACACCCATTCTAAAAAGCCTGTTTTTACAGCAGAGATGAACATGTTTACAGCCTGGTTCAAAAAACCAAATAGGTGTGATTAGCTCATGTCTGGATGGACACACACTGTACGGGGGGTGAATGTTTTGATGACTCATCAGTTTTGATTTGATGAAGGATAAGAGTTATTCACAATAAGGCGTGTAGCTGACCTGATTGACAGGTGGGCGCGGTGTAACGGTTTGTCAGGAGGTTTAAAACCCGCCTCAGCTCCAGCTCTTCAAACATTTACAGTCGATGAGTTAAAAAACGCAAAATGTACAAAAAATAATTGCAATCAAAGTCTGTTCTCGTGGTAAATTCTGTTTATTTCTACATAAAACATCGAGGTCAAAGTGTGTGTGTGTGTGTCAGGTGAGGCTCCAGATGACAGTGAGCATCCCCATGATGCCGTTTAGAACCGCAACCCCATAGCCCATGAAGAAACTCTGTCCTGAAACATCTCTGGAACAAAAACAAACACACAGAAATGACTTTTTTTTTAGCATGTCGACAACATCACCTGCAGGAAGAACATCGGCCTGTGTGATGACGGTGACGATCTACTGGCTTGAATCTGAGAACCTTTAGCATTGTGTGCAGTGTGTTACACAGGTGTGTTACCTAAAGTCTGCAGGTGTGTGCAGCGTCGTGAACTCTCTGCTCGGCCGCTGCGAGTCGATGTAGGTGAGAGTCCACGAGAAGACGCAGCAGATACATCCTACTAATACTGACAGCACCAGGATACTCCAGAAACCTGCGCACACACACACACACACACACACACACCATCATGACACTTGCTAAACTTAATATTTAGGTTATCTGGACGAAGCTGCACAGGAGGAAGGAGTTCACTAAAGTCCGATTAGTACATAAAAAATGAGATGTTTTTAAATGATGTTGTTGTTTGTACTCACCTAACATCCTCTGTTCAGTCCCGTCCTCTCCTCTCACTCTCTCTCCCCGCAGGTCTGCAACAGTCCCAAAGAAATGAAGCATGAAGTCTTTTTTACAAGACAATGACGTTTTTTTTGTTTTTTTTTCTTGACCTGCTGTAAAGCAAAAATGTCCCCCATGGGGGATCAATAAACTTTATCTTTATCAGATAAAGTGTAGATTATCTTGACTCGCTCTGTGCATGCTGTTTACATTATTTTGAAGAGCACACTGTCATGTTTCTACACTTGAACAGAAGCCCAGATTAGATTCTTTATCTGTTTTTTCTCCCATGAGAGGGAACTTCATCGTGTAATCTGCATCAAATAAGATGACCTTTATCAAATACGCTCCACAGTAAGGGCACCCTAGTTTATCCTCTGGAAGAACACCCAGAGAGCCTGTAAACATGTTTTCTGCACTGGAGAGGCACGGTGGAGGTGATTTTATTTCCATTTTTTTCCACCTGAAGCATCGCTTATCTTGTTTTCTCCACTGGCAGAACACCTGATCATAATCTTTACAAGCCTCGAAAACACTTCAGGATGTTTAATCCAGCGTTCAGGTATCCATGAAGGCACTTCTGTTGGGTTTTAGATGCTGTGCATGCTGCCTACTAAAGAGAGACGCCTACATCACAGCCAGGACGCAGCGGGTTTGCCCTCCTTAGAGGTATGGCGCCATTAACACCCGGAATAACACTCTGAGGAAAAGCTTCTTTCCCAGGTCGAGGGTTTGATCCCCAGATCCTGCAGCAACGTGTCTTATGCGTCATTGGGCGAGACACTTAACCCCAAGTTGCTCCCACTGCTTTGTTGTGGAGTGTTATTGTGTATGAATGGACACTTTGTACAGCAGCCTGGAGCCTCAGTGTGTGTGAGTGTGTAGGTAGGTGTGTGTGTGTGTGTGTAGGTGTGTAGGTGTGTGTGTGTGAATGTGTAGGTGTGTAGGTGTGTGTGTGAGTGTGTAGGTGTGTGTGAGTGTGTAGGTGTGTAGGTGTGTGTGTGTGAGTGTGTAGGTGTGTGTGTGAATGTGTAGGTGTGTGTGAGTGTGTAGGTGTGTAGGTGTGTGAGTGTGAGTGTGAGTGTGTGTGTGAGTGTGTAGGTGTGTAGGTGTGTGTGTGTGAGTGTGAGTGTGTAGGTGTGTGTGTGAGTGTGTAGGTGTGTAGGTGCGTATGTAGGTGTGTGTGTAGGTGTGTGTGTGAGTGTGTAGGTGTGTAGGTGTGTAGGTGTGTGTGTGTGAGTGTGTAGGTGTGTGTGTGTGAGTGTGAGTGTGTAGGTGTGTGTGTGAGTGTGTAGGTGTGTGTGTGAGTGTGTAGGTGTGTAGGTGTGTGTGTGTGAGTGTGAGTGTGTAGGTGTGTAGGTGCGTGTGTGTGAGTGTGAGTGTATAGGTGTGTAGGTGTGTGTGTGAGTGTGTAGGTGCGTGTGTCTCATTTGGATCGAATCGTGACAGATCTGTGCAGTGTGTGCAGTGTGTGCAGTGTGTGTAGGTGTGTACAGTGTGTGCAGTGTGTGCAGTGTGTACAGTGTGTGTAGGTGTGTACAGTGTGTGCAGTGTGTGCAGTGTGTGCAGTGTGTGTAGGTGTGTACAGTGTGTGCAGTGTGTACAGTGTGTAGGTGTGTACAGTGTGTGCAGTGTGTGCAGTGTGTGCAGTGTGTAGGTGTGTACAGTGTGTGCAGTGTGTAGGTGTGTGCAGTGTGTAGGTGTGTGCAGTGTGTAGGTGTGTACAGTGTGTACAGTGTGTACAGTGTGTAGGTGTGTGCAGTGTGTGTAGGTGTGTGCAGTGTGTGCAGTGTGTGCAGTGTGTAGGTGTGTACAGTGTGTACAGTGTGTACAGTGTGTAGGTGTGTACAGTGTGTGCAGTGTGTGCAGTGTGTAGGTGTGTGCAGTGTGTGCAGTGTGTACAGTGTGTAGGTGTGTACAGTGTGTGCAGTGTGTAGGTGTGTACAGTGTGTGCAGTGTGTGCAGTGTGTAGGTGTGTACAGTGTGTGCAGTGTGTGCAGTGTGTAGGTGTGTACAGTGTGTACAGTGTGTACAGTGTGTAGGTGTGTACAGTGTGTGCAGTGTGTGCAGTGTGTAGGTGTGTACAGTGTGTGCAGTGTGTACAGTGTGTACAGTGTGTAGGTGTGTGCAGTGTGTACAGTGTGTAGGTGTGTGCAGTGTGTACAGTGTGTAGGTGTGTGCAGTGTGTACAGTGTGTAGGTGTGTGCAGTGTGTGCAGTGTGTGCAGTGTGTAGGTGTGTACAGTGTGTACAGTGTGTGCAGTGTGTGCAGTGTGTACAGTGTGTGCAGTGTGTGCAGTGTGTGCAGTGTGTACAGTGTGTGCAGTGTGTGCAGTGTGTGTAGGTGTGTACAGTGTGTAGGTGTGTGCAGTGTGTGCAGTGTGTGTAGTGTGTGTAGGTGTGTTACCTCTGAGTATCGGGTAGATGAAGGCGCAAACACACCCAACAGCAGCCACAGCAGCAGCCGAGCCCAGCACCGACAGCACCGTGAACCACCACCGTTTGGGCCCGGTCCCGGTGCCGTGGACCGGCCGTCCCGGTGCCACACTCCCTCCGTGTCTCACAGGTGAAGAGTCTGAGCTCAGCAGATCATCGCAGGAAAACGACCGACTCAAACTTTCTCTGTCCGCTGCACTCCTCGGCATCCTGCTGCACTTTTAAAAGACTGACCTTTGACCTCCTGGGAACAATTTCCTGTTTACAAACCTTATTAATAATTCATCTTTAGTCCCGCTCTGAATAAACTGTTCGTTTTAAAGCGCTTACAGGACCTGTAACTGTGCTGACATTTCCTCCTTCGCCTTTTTTTTCTTTCAAAGAGCACTTCCGCACACAAAGTTGTCCCTCGGGCGCTTCTGTAGGTGGAGTTTTATTTTCCGCTATTTTGAAGTCAAATGTCCGAAACTTTCATGAACATTAAAATAATTAAATAATAATTTAGACTAGAGCCAACTGTCCGAAAACATTTGAAATAACAATGACCTTAAAACATGTGTATTAAATACTTTCATATATTTATATATATAATAAATTATATTTATTTATTATGTTTATATTTATAAATTATATTTATTTATTATAGATTATATTTATTTATTATAAATTATATTTATTTATTATGTTTATATTTATAAATTATATTTATTTATTATAAATTATATTTATTTATTATGTTTATATTTATAAATTATATTTATTTATTATAGAATATATTTATTTATTATAAATTATATTTATTTATTATGTTTATATTTATAAATTATATTTATTTATTATAAATTATATTTATTTATTATGTTTATATTTATAAATTATATTTATTTATTATAGATTATATTTATTTATTATAAATTATATTTATTTATTATGTTTATATTTATAAATTATATTTCTTTATTATAAATTATATTTCTTTATTATGTTTATATTTATAAATTATATTTCTTTATTATAAATTATATTTCTTTATTATATATTATATATTTGTTTTAATCATTATTTTGTCCGGGAAATATTTTCAAACTGTTAATTAAATAAAACTATTATTATTGTTGATGTTTTATCAAATGTAATGTTTGCTTTTTGTGCCTGTGTGAAGCACATACAATTTTTGGTGTTTAATAAATATAAAAAGTCGGTTTTATTATTTTTTGTGAGTGTGACTTCTGTTTCGTTTTTTGTTTGTTTCATTTGTTTTGTTTTGAAAGAAATTCTCAGAACAAATTTTGTTCTGATATGTTTTGTTTTTGTAACCAAACTAGTCGTGTCTTAAATAATAAGATTCGTAATAAGGGCAGGTGTAATAAGATGAAGCTTCAGCCTACACCTTTTCAGTCTTGTGACCGAAATAAATGATTACTACTACTACTACTACTTTATATTATCTGAGAAGTGCTATTAACTTGCTTTGCCTTGATTTGCAGTTCAAGCGACCCTATCTCTTTCACTTATAACTAACTCTCTTCTCTGTTTGTTTACATTACTTGCTGCTATTTATCATACCAAGTCACTTTAATCACTTGTCACTTTATCTTTTCATTCTCTGCAAATACTGTCTCAATTCCCTGCATAGTTAACTTCATCATTCATTTTGTACTTGTATATACCCCTTGTTTTTATTTTTATTTATCTTATCTATTCTGTTTAATGTGTATTTTGTATTTTGAGCTTTCTTGTCTGTGCTGCTACAACGCCCGAATTTCCTCTCTGGGGATCAATAAAGTTTTATCCTATCCTATCCTATCCTAACTATTAGTCTGTTTTGGTCTTTTAAACTCCTCTGTGCTTCTGGGACTGACTCTGCTTTTGCATATCCCCCTCAGATTTCTGTAATGTTACTTGAGAATCCCGAAATGCTGCTTATTTACTTAGTTTAATTGGCGTAAAGGGACTAGGAGTATTCTGACTACATTTTTGTCAAAACTGACCTGATCTATTTTTTAATTTTTAATTTTTTTAAATCTATTTTTAGTATCTATCTATTTTTTTGTACATTCTTAATTTTTTTATTTTATTTTTATTTAAATTGTACTGTGTTCACTTTTCTGTTTGCGATCTTTGCTCTTTGCTGCTGTAACACTGTAAATTTCCCCGTTGTAGGATAAATAAAGGATTATCTTAATAACACAACATTGATTCTATTTCTTTTCTATTTCTTCTTTTCTTTTCTCTTCTCTGCTGTTTAATCATCACTTGTCACTTTATCTTTTCATTCTCTGCAAATACTGTCTCAATTCCCTGCATAGTTAACTTCATCATTCATTTTGTACTTGTATATACCCCCTATTTTTATTTTTATTTATCTTATCTATTCTGTTTAATGTGTATTTTGAGCTTACTTAGATCAATAAAGTATTATCCTATTCTATCCTAGTTCTTATATTGTAATATAATTGTAATATCACTTTCAGCCACTAGAGGGCGCCCGGCTCCAAGGAGCGCTCTTATTTTGACACGGCACAACCGGAAGAGGTGTTGACGCTGATTGTTGCTGTCAACTGTCAACTGTACAGCGACTACGGAGGCAACAAAGCACATCGGGCGATTACAAAGCGACTAATTGCGGTAATTAAAACATTTAAATGATACTTTTGTTTACTTACATGAAGCTTAACGTTTTTATTAAATGTTACCTTATCATTATGAACATATTTTGCTAAATGAACCGTTACATCTCGCTAATGCTTACTGCTAATATTAGCTTACCAAGTTAGCCTCTTTAAATTTGCTGTTTTAAAATAACGGATGTGATTGTTTTAGTGTTTTTTGTTTTTTTTGGGGGGGTGTAAATGTAATATAAGGCATCTACCTGACTTATCACTTGTTGCTTATATCAGCAAACACATCAGAAGAGACTCTGTTTAGCAGCCTCATGCTGTTTGGAGAGAGCGGCGCACCAAACCCCACTTAAAAATCTGCTAATTTAATGCCCTTGCTTTATCATCCTTACCATCTTTTTTTAAGCTTAAAGTATTACATTTTCTCAATCAGAAGGTTCCACTTGAGATATCGGCGTTGATTAAATCTATCAGAAGCTACGTTGTTTGCAGCAGCATCCTGTTTAGAGTGACCGATGCACCAAATCCCACTTAAAAATCCGCTTATTGAACATGCCTTCACTTTTTTGCCCTTAGAGTCTGTTTTAAATCATAAAATGTCACGTTTTCCCAAATCAGAAGGTTCTCCTGGAGATATCGGCGTTAATTAAATCTATCAGAAGCCACGTTGTTTGCAGCAGCATCCTGTTTAGAGTGAGCCGTGCACCAAACCCCACTTAAAAATCTGCTAATTTAATGCGTCCTTGCTTTATCATCCTTAACATCTTTTTTGTAAGCTTAAAGTATTAAATTTTCTCAATCAGAAGGTTCCACTTAAATATTGCATATATTAAATCTACGATTACTTAATTCATTAGATCACAGAAATGGTTAACATAAGGCACTCAGAAGCTTTAATTTCTCCAGTAAGGTTTCTGCTGTGCTTCAGAAATGTTCTCTTTTTTATTAGAGACAACTTTTTCTTTTTTTTTGCTACAGAGCTGTTTAAAATGCAGAAATGTTAACTCTCACTTTTCTTGAACGGTATCACAGATGTATTATCTACAGTGTAAACACAGTCAGATGACCAAATTCTCACGCCTGTTTGAAGCAGCTTCTCTCAGATTAACTGGAGCCAGTTCAGATGGTCTATCTGCTTTGGATTCAGACACGTGTTGTGTTTATTATGAGGAACAGCAGACAGAGAGAGAGAGAGAATTATATGCACTTCTCCATGTTGCTGCATTTGTCACATTATCTCAGTTTTAAACATTGCACATCACACATCCTGTTTGCATAAATTTGTCATGTTGTGCAGGCTCAGTCAGGACCTGGAGGTTATAGCAGCCGGCTTGTGTTGGCCGCTGTCCTTGAGCGAGGCCCTCAGTACTCAACGTCAAAGGGCCTCTTTTCATCAGAGATCAGACTGTAGATGTGCTGTAGTCGGCAGATTCCAGATGTGGTGAAAAAAAAGAGCAGTGCTTTTAGAAGTACTCTGGTTAAATCAAGGATTACACAAAATAAATCCTGTGCTGTCCCATCGTATAAAACCGTCTTCATGCTCTTCCTTGTGATAAATTAAAATTAGACACATGGATATCTCTAAACAAATTTAGGAGTCTCATAAAAACGTGGCGACAGAGGCATGTGGTTGTTTCGTCTGAGTAAAGCACAACGAGTGCACCAAGTTCTCTTTCCAAACAGAAAGCTCTACGCACAACGAGTGAATAATTACGGCTTGTTTACATCAAATGCATTTTCATTAGTTCTTATTTATTGCCATAAATTCAGACTTTTGTGTTTCCACAAGCAGTTAAATGTGTGTTTTCCCTCTTAATCAAAGACGATCGTTTCCTGGTTGTTTTTTTGTTAATCTAATTGGTCTCATAGCTGGTCCTTCCAGTTAACAAACTAATGCTTTAAGAGTGTTGCTCCTGAGTCCCGAGGATATTGGAAAAGAAAACAGGATTAAAATATAATATGGTCGAAGTGCTGCAGGCCCACCTCTCGTTAGACTCACTGCTGTGCTTCACAAATGATCTACAGTTTAGAGTCTAAGATGAGGCGTGATTGTGCCACTAAAATATCCGATTAGATGATAAAATGAATGGTGACATTTATTTAACCAAAAACGCACAAATGTCAACTTCACTGATGCATCATAACGTCCCAGTCTGTGGAGGAACAAACGAAGGGAATGTCCTTAAATCTGGCACGTCTTTTTTTAGCTTTGGGATTAACCGTCTCGATTTTGGTGGATAAAGTCAAAGGTACCTCGCTGTTCTGGCATGCTTGTAAAACGTGATACGTCAGCCAAAACCTGGAGGGAATGGTCGTTATATCTTATTTTTTTATTTCAGATTCCCAGACTAACATGTGACCTTCTTTCCACCTCGTGCTCGACTCTCATACCTGTGTTCGTTCTGCTGCTTGTAAGGTCCATAATCAATGTCGTGCTCCGCAGAGAAACAGAGAGAGAGAGAGAGAGAGAGAAACAGAGAGAGCAGAAAGAATCACTCCCAAACGACTTGTGTGATGTGTCGATCAGGATTAATTACCCAGCTCAAGTATCCATATCAGGATTGTTACTACAGTTGTATTAAAGTTTAAAACTCTGGTATCGTGTTTTGTCATCCGCTGTGTTTATGCCATTTAGGAAGTATTCAAACAGAACTGCTAGCAGCACCGCCTGTCTCCTGAAGCAGCTACGCCATACAGAGCTGAAGGATGAGCGAGAACTAATGAGCAACAACAGCAGCAGGCCTTTCCTCCTCCTGCCTGTCTCTCTCTCTCTCTC